GGATATATATAATAAAATATTTTATCATAATTTCCATTACTTCCCCGACAATGCTGCCAAAAACTTGATGCGGGTGGATTTAGTGTGTAATTTTACAAAATTACACAAGGCAGATATATAATAAATATGTAGTATAATCCCAACAAAAATAACTTTTATGAAAATAGTTTATCTTTTAAGACTCTTTTTAAACTGTCAAGTCCCCATTAAAATCAAAGAAAGTATATGTATCGCTCAAGAAATAAAGGGCTCTAATGGAGTCCTAGATATCGATCTCATAGAGAAGTTGGAAAATCCTTTAAATAAGTTTTTGAAATCATTTTAGAATTAAAAATATATAAATAAAAGTAAAGTGCAAAGTTTGAAAATTAACTACTAAGGTAAATGCTATATAAAATGCAGTTGAAAAATAAAGTTAACTAACTAAGAACTAACTTTTCAAAAGTTAAATTACAAAAACAAAATAAAGTTTTTGTTTTGACGGAAAGTTCAAACTTAAGAAAGCATCCTCCCCCTTTACAATGAGTATATGGATTGTGAATAAATTGAAATCATTTGAAAAAATATATATAAAAACTATTTTGTGCCAAATAGGAGCAATTTTATTCTTTACCCTTTTTCGAGTGTTGTAAGGAACATTGACAAATCCAGAGTTTGGTCCCTAATTCTGTGGTTATACTGGGACGAAACCAGCTGCCACTCCAGAGCTCCCACTACTCCATCACAAGAGGGCTAACAATTTAAAATTAGTTTCCAATCAATTGGACCAAATTGGGGATTTTAATATGTTACCTTAAAATCTCCAATTTTACATCCAACAAAGTATGTTCCCTTATTTATTTGCACCCAATCTGATGGATAACATACTCTCCCATGAAATCAAATGTTATTCTCCCTATGCCGTAGAAATTATATCCCTTTTAAGAACATATGTTTCTTAACAAGTTTTAACATTTCAATTTGCCAGATTGAAAATTAAATGGAGATCAAAGTTCAAATCATCACAAATTATTAACATTTAAAGTCATATGAAAAAAAATCAATTTTTCACAAAACCATATCTCAAAGTAGGGAGATAAATAAATAAGACTACTCATAATTCATGAGAAGGATACGACAAAACACGGATTTCATATATAAAAACAAGTTTGCAATATAAAAGAATTAAAAGGCATAGCTTATCTCACAGTCCTTCTTAAGTGAATCCCTAAAAGTTCTCTCCAAGCCTTTCTCTTTTTACAATATCACTTGATTCTATCTTAAAAGTGTAATGAAGAAGAAATCTTTCAGCTTCCCTCTCCTCTTACAACCCTAGAAAAAAATCTCCTCTTCACTCCTCTTGCCTCTCATTCAAACTTTCTCTCTCCCTTTCTCGTCCCTTTTTAAGGCTTCTCTCGCCCCCTTGAAGTCTTCTCTTTTATTTTTAGGTTGCCTCCTTTTAAAAGAATTTCAAATTCCCTCTAAAAGTTCCTTCAAAAAGTCAACTTTTTGAATCTAAAAGATAAGTCATTTGATCTAAGAGACATATCCCTTTATAACAGAACCTTTCAAAGTGTCTAGATACATTGAATTGCTCCAATAGGTGTGTAGAACAAGTGTCCCTTTGAAAATTCCAGCAAAATTTGTCTTGAACCACCTTAATTTCCAAAAAATTGTCTATGGTGCATCATGCTTTGATCTGGCGAATCATGAGCCAGTTCTCTGTCAATTAGTGCATCATGCGCCGATCTGGCGCATCATGCGCCAGAATCCCAAAATTCATTGTTTTGGCTCCAAATTTTATCTATTTTTTTTCATTTTTTCTCCAAATTCCTAAAAATGATATACCTGCAAAAAAATGAAAAATATCATTCTTTAAAATGCAATATCACCAAAAATAAGCATAAAATATGTACTTAAAAGAGTTTATTATTTTGGTGTATCACCAGTATCCTCTCAACCTAACCACAAATTTAGGTACCAAACTCTAGATTAGTCAATATTCTTTATGCACTCTCAGAGGGTAAAGAATAGAAATGCTCCTAATTGGCACAATATAATTTTATATGTATTTTAAATGATTTTAATTTCTTTACATTTCATAAACTTATTGTAAAGGGAAGGGATGTTTTCTTAAACTTGAACACTCTGTTTCAAAACTTTGTTTAGACTTTATAAGTTTACTTTTGAAGTATAGTAATTAGTTTTGTTAATTTAGTTCTTTTAACTTCATTTCATTTAACGCTCATTAATTTGCTTTAGATTTGTTTTGCTTACTTAAGTTTTATAGTTTAAATATTGTGTTTGACGTTATAACCATAAGAATTTTGAGCTCCCTGTGGAATCGATGTTTAGGACTCCATTAGAGTTCTTTTTACTTGAGCGATACGTATACTTGCGTTATTATTATTGGTTTGGTAGCTTAGAGATTTTAGAAGATAAATTTATTTAAACTGAATTTATTTTTATTGGGATTGACAACATATTCACTATTAGTGCTAACAGCTCCGCTCGTGCATCAAGCACTAACACGAATCTCAAATCAATCAGATGGTCAAGGACGATTGCCAGACAATCGAAGCAACATTTCAAAAAAGCATGGTCTGAATCGGTTGTTCGATCATCGACCGCTTTATCGGGCCGACAACCCACATTGTTGAGGGATTCAATCGAAGTACCACACTTACAGTCCTTGCTACCCAAACATCTTTCAATGCTGGCCGATCAACACTAATCGATTGACCGGCTTGTCTAAGCAGTCATTGCTACACAACCGATTACCCTAGTCAACCAAACTACAATGCATCGACCCACTAATGGGTGTTGTGTTATACTTAAATGACAACATGAATCTTGTATTGAATTAGCGTATTAACTGCATTAAGAGCGGGTTTCATAGTTGTTCCCTCATTTTTATAAATGGACAAAAAAACCCTTATAAATAGGAGATCCAAAAATGAATGAAGTAACTTTCCTCCCTGACTCCACTCTCAAGAATTTTTTATTGGCTCTACTCTCTCCTTCTTAGTATCCTTCTCTTGGCACCAAATCTCGAGACATGTTTTATATGGACGATTTAGGATTCAACAGATAGGAGAAATTCAAAAAAAATAAAATTAAAAGCAATGGGACTGCTTTAGTCCAATTTCACTCGTAATAAAGTTTTTTTCCGTGCCAATTATTTATACGAAAATTTTTGGATGCATCAGTTTAAAATTTTTTGCCATCTTTTATTTCTACCCATATTAATTGTTTCAATTACTTGAAGTCAAATATGGCATTTTTGGCATTGCCTTTTATTTATTTATTTTTATTGGCCTTAAGTTGGATTTCATTCTATTCCAAAACAATACGCCGTTCAAAATTAATTCGGAACGGCCAATCGGGCAGATGAAAAGGATTGTTTCCTTCCATCTTTATCCTCTGCGTATCTGACACGGCCTCAAGTTCCTAACTTTTACCGCCTACTGAACTCTCACGCACGCCCACTGCAATCCACCTGTATAAAATACCCAAATCCTAATCCCCTCGAGCAATACATCTGTTTCTCCTTTACATAAAAACCCAAACTTCTCTCTTTCCTCCAATATCGCATTTTTATAGCTCGTTGGCGATGAATAACGAAGAGCGAAAAATAGGAGATCAAATAATCCATGTTGTGCGCGCGCCACTCCGCGCTCTTTGCCGTGCACGCAACCGCTACGTCCGCAGCATGAACAGCATCGCAGACCACGTTCCTTACGGCGCCTGCGGTGAGGCAGTGAGCTACGCCAACAACTACGGCGACGATGCTAGAAACTTCAGCAACGCTCAACTCTCTTCCGGCGAAGAGGATTTCCGCGAGCTCGTCCGCATAAATTCGCAAAGCCGTGTAATTGCTTCTAGAGAGGCAGTTTGGCGTAGCCGGAGCGTGGCAGTGGGGCGGATCGACGAGGACGCGCCCTGCTATTTCTCCGGCGATGTCGGGGTTGGGGAAAGTCTAATTTTTTGCAGGAGTCGGACTTACGGAGCCGGCGCAAAGAGGGCCGTTGCTGCGCCAATGTAAAAGTTTTGTTGTCACTGCCCGTTCAGTTATATATGCAGGAACACCAATTCAAGAAATGAAGCATCCAAAATTTGATCAAGAGCAGCCGCAGAATATTAACAAGAAAGCAGGAGTAAAGACCCGACTACCGGCTCTGTTTGGCTCTGCTTTTTCAAAGCGGTGTGGTTCGAACCGCACCGGACTTGTCGTTTGGGTTCTTTATTTTTATGGCTTTTTCTGAATCACAAAAGACAAACTTTGTTTTGTGAATGCATAATAGGGGTTACTGCCGCGGGCTGAGGCTGTGTTTTCGTAATCTTTACCCAAGCTCTTAGTGCATTCACATGGTGGCCGATCTCCTCTCATTCTTTCCTACTCTTCCGTTGTTTTCATCTTAGCTACTCCTATTTTCTTTTTTTTTTTTCATTTTCTTCTTTCGGTGATTGAGGATTAACATATTTACCTCTCTTTTTCCTCACCTAGGCTAATGGATTCAGTGTAGTTCATTCCTTTCTATGTGTTATGTGTTTTCGTTCGCATATATTATTGAGGGTTTGGCTATGGTATTTCAGCATGAGTTGTATGATGTTTCATCCTTCATTTGCTGGTGATTCGATGGAATAAAGGTGCATCTGTTGCGGTTCTTAGTGATTTTTATTTCGAATTCGATTGTATTTTCCTTGGTGTTAGACTTTTACATTTGGAAATTTTGTTGATATGGTAGAATGTCATGAGTATTATGTTTCTGGTAGTTTTAGATGATCTCTTTTATTTGTTGCTTGAAATTTCAGTTTTGTGCCAAAAAAGGGGAAATTGTCAGGGGATTGGGGGATATTTTTTAAGTAACGTATGTCGTAGTTAGTGTTGGCGTATTTTCATGAGTGCTATAGATGTGCACAGATGAGAAGCATGCCTGCCTTCATTTATTATTTATGTTGATTTGAATTGTTGATGGTGATCCTTGATATCAAAGCAGGAGTATTTTGTCCCATGACCATAACGGTTTGAAAATAAAAGAAGAAATTGACTTACATGCCTCACAAGTCTTATGTGGTAGCATCTTATATTTTAGTTATCTAATAAGCGCACACTTTAATCTGAAGTATCACTTAAATTGTTATTGCGTACATAACAAAAATTGTAGTACTTTATCCATTACCTTCTGTTGGTGATTTAAGTACAGAAAAAAGTTGCCTATGTAAGATGCACGCAGCGATACGTACGATATCCAATCGCAAGACGCCACGTAATTTGCGGCGGGCTCAATGCATTAAATTAATAAAATAAATCTAAATAATTCCGCGTGTGACCCGTTACCCGGCCCGTGATGTAACGCGTTTGTACCCTGATCTGTAACTCTAATATACCCTTCCTATATATCCCGCGGTCGGCCTGGAGTAACGCGATTGTAACCGGGCTTTACTAGTCATGTACCTTCCGCAGTACAGGGCCATGTAATGCGCTTGTAATTGTATTGTAACTTGGTTGTAACCTTCTCGTTATACCGCGGGTATAACGTGAATGAAACTTCGATTTAACGTCATCGCCGCGGAAGGAGATTTATAATATCACTGTAACTCGATTATAATCGTCGTATAACAGATTTTCAAGACTGTATAGCGGAACAACGCTTGTACCCGCATAGATTAGAGATTGTACCCATCTTGTAACTGCCTTGTAACGGAGGATTAAGCCCGTTCAATTGGAACCGCGCGAGTACCCTGAATGTAATTGCGCTGTACATGATTTAAATTGGTGAGCACAAAAAATGGTATTTAAGCAGCTAGGTTTACTGTTTCATTGTTCTCTGGCCATTTTCTTCTGTAGTGGCAACGTCCGGCAGGTGGACCTCTTGAACTTGAACATGGAGTACGACTACAGAGAGTGTCAGTTTATGTTTGACGTAGTCCATGACGCAGAAAGAGAAGATGGGCGTTCTCCTGACAGGATAGGAGAAGTGGAACTTAAAATGGAGGCATGTTTGGAGATGTGTTTTTATAATAATTAGTTTAGGGTTTTCTATAATATTCTTTGCTGTTATAGTTTTCTTATATTTAGGATATATCAGTTTTTTTGGAGTTGAATATATGTTGTGTTATGTTTGCATAGTTGCATGGTATTTGGTCTAATAAAAACAATGAAGTAAAGATTGGAGTAATTAATATATCCTTCATTAAACTCAAATTTTTGGAGGCACATGTTTGTAGATAATTAAAAATATTAAAGTATTTAGAGGGGCATGCTTTTTAGAGGTGTTTGATTTTAGGGGTTTTTTTTATTATTTTGAGGTGTCATTATGAAGTTTAGGGATGTTTTTTGAGCTTTCTATTGAGTCTAACATTTTATTCTCTTGCTTGCAGTTTCGAGAGAGCAATGCTAGTTGTACCGAGAAAAGAACAAACATATTACTCCAAACGTTGGTCCGCAATGAGAAAAAAACTTATGAAGTATATTGTGCTTACGCTCATCATATTGGATTCAGTGGTCGTAAGGATCACACTACGTTTTCGACTAACTCAAGAATTATCAAGACGAAGGACTTCATATGTGGAAAAGCAGGTTTCAAGAAAGAGCTAAAGATTACAGAAACTGTTAAATATAGAAGAGAAGAAACAAGAACTGGTTGCCTTGCAATGATCCGATACCGAGTTGATGAGGAAGGCAATTGGACAGTTAAAAAATTAATTGAATCGCATAACCACTCATTAGTGAACCCCGATGACAAGCACTTGTTGCGTTCCAGGAGAAAGATAAGCAAAATAAATGCAGACGTGCTTAGATTCATGACACAGTCTGAGAACTTCCTAGCCTGAGAAGTTGGGGTTATAGAGAACCTGGAATGCACAATGATAGATGCTTTCAATTTCATTCAGAGGGAGACGAGATATAGAATTGAAAATGGTGATGTGAATGCTTTATTGCAGCTGTTTGCAGAGAGACGTGCCGAGGATAGCATGTTCGAATGGGATTTTGAAACTGATGTGAGCGGCAGGCTGATGAGTTTTTTTTTGGAGTGACGGGACGTCCAGGCTTAATTATGACTGCTTTGGAGATGTGATTATATTTGATACAAGCTATAGGTTAAATAAATATAACATATGTTGTGCCCTTATTGTTGGTAATAACCACAATTGACAAAATGTTCTATTTGGAGTCAAATTTTTGTTAGAGGAAACGACGGACTCGTTCAAATGGCTTTTTAAAACTTTCATCCGTATCCTGGGTGATAATCATCTAATAACAATCTAAAATAATTAGGATCAGGCTATGGCTAGAGCAATAGTAGAAATTTTGCCTACAAAGGTTCTTTGCGTCGTGCAAAATAGGATAGTCAGTAATCTTTTTTATAAATGCTTGAGCAAATGCAAGTCCAAAAAGGAATTTGATGATACATGGAGGGTGATGATTGTGATAGGTAATCTATATGACAATATTTTGCTAGATGATATGTACAAGATTAGACATAAGTGGTCTACAACTTTTAATAAGGAAGTATTTGGAATAAGAATTTTATTGACACAGAGGAGCGAGTCAACTAATAACATATGCCATGGTGTCATAAAATCTACAAGTTCTATTACAGATTGTTTCTTGGGCATTGAAAATGTACTGAGAATAGAAAATGTAAACGAAAAGGACGAGGATTTCAAATGTGATCAATCTATGATTACTCCTGTCGCGAAGAGCAGCCCAATATACTCCTTACTCCTGTCGCGAAGAGCAGCCCAATACTGAGGCAGGCAACTGCATTTTACTCAAGAAAGCTGTACACAATGTTTAAGGAAGAATTTATACACGGGTCCTGTGGTGTTCAATTACATGCCTCTACAAACAATGAAAATTAGTTTTTCATTAAGAATTTAGATGATCACACGTTCAACACTACTTGGGTTGTTCATTTCGAAAGTTTGAGTTTGGATATAAAGTGTAGCTGCAGAAAGTTCGAAATGATGGGACTACTATGTTCACACTCTCTAAGAGTGCTAACCTTTCTACATATTAAGAAGATACCTGTTAAATATCTATTATTGAGATGGTCTAAAAATGCAAAAAGAGATATATATAATAGTTCTGGGTACATGCATCTGCAATAGTCACAATCCTCGCATGATAGTAAAAGCGACCTAATTTTCCAAGCACACATGCAGAGAGCAGCTTATCAGTGCACTTAAAATGCAAAGGGCAATCCAGAAGTTGAGCAGTGCATGAGGGAGTCCATGAAGAAACTTTCATTCGAAATTGATGACATATTGATTGGTAAAGGTTATAGAGCTAGGAGCGAACAAAAGAAAAATGAAAAATCTGTCAACAATGAATCAAATCTGAATGACCTTACCAAAATGCACCTGAAAGGTATATCTAATGCTAGACTAAAAGGGTATTGGAAGAAAAATAAAAGATCAAAATGTATATTCGAAAACACTAACCCCTTTTCTTATGTTTCGAAAACCATTAATTTTTAACCATAAATACTGTAGACATAGGAAAACAAAAAATGTGTCAACAACCGAAGAACCTGAATCATCACAGTGTCATCCACCCATGTGCTAACTTCCTGATTTTCTAACACAAGTACAAATTTAATGTTGATTTGTTAGATTTAATATGTTGTTTAGGGTGGTTTCAAGTTTTCACTAATACATTATTATCCATTACAGAATTCCTTTGCTCCACAAAATAAAGAATCCTACACTGTCATGATGACGGAGTCAATTAATGGGACAACAATGCCTTCATAGTTTGAATTTCCATAAAAGTTGTTGGCAGATTAAGTTTGTTGAAGAAATTCAGAATTTTTGAAATAAAATTTTTGTTTCATACTTAGATTTGTAATCAGATTTTGGCTTCTTAACTGACCTTTGTAATCAGATTTTGAAATAAAATTTTGGTTTCCTACTTAGATTTGTAATCAGATTTTGGCTTCTTAACTGACCTTTGTAATCAGATTTTGAAATAAAATTTTGGTTTCCTACTTAGATTTGTAATCAGATTTTGGCTTCTTAACTGACCTTTGTAATCAAATTTTGAAATAAAATTTTGGTTTGCTACTTAGCTTTGTAATCAAACTCTGGCTTCTTACTCAACTCTGTAATCAGATTTTGAAATAAGATTTTGCTACCTTACTCAAAATTGTAATCAGATTTCATAATAATAATTGGTAGTCAGACAATTTTTGTAACAACATTATGTAAGTAGACATGGCCTCCTACTCAATTCTGTAATCAGAATTTCGAGACAGTTTTTGTATTAAGCTGTAAGCAGACGTGCAGAATGGCCTGATTTTGTTGCTGATATTCTAGAAATATCTTTGAAAGCCTTGTATATTAGATTTGCAACCCTTGTAATCATATTTGAAAGGCTTGTAGTAGAATTTCTAAGTACAAATATGGAATGACTGAGCAAAATCAGATTTGAAAGGCTTGTAGCAGACTCTGTAAACATGATTTCTTGTTTCTTCAAATGCCAACAAAAAGTTTGTTGCTGTTGTTCCCAGAATATATTTTAAACCTTATTATCCTCAACAAAAAGTTTTCCAACTTTCAAAAAAATTTTAGATAGAATCTATAGACAATTCAACAGAAATTTTAGAAAGAATCTATACTTTATTCATAACTGACGAATTGCTTTACAATCATTACATAGAGTCAAACATAACTCCCAAAATATATGTATAATATGTCCAAACCAAAGAAACATTTGAAGATATAGAAAATAAAACGTATAATATATTGTTACAAAAGGAATCTAAAACTATCCATCAACAACGAGCTCCTCCAAAAAAATATGAAGTCAGTAAGGTCAAATTAGCGTCTATAATCAGCATTGCTGCTCCCCTAGAAAGAAATCTGAATTCCTGAAGCATGCATTATTTAATTTCTGCTTTTGGTCCTGCGCAAATCGAAATGTGATTTTATTAATAAACGGAAATCTAAGTAGATGTTGCAAACAAAACATCAGCAAGACTAAAGCAATTATATCTCAAAACAACATTTTCAAAATGACGATTTTCCTTGTAATTTAGGTTTGCATTATAAACAAAGAAAAACTATGTCATTCCTTAATAACTTTAGCTAAAAATGATGATTTCTTGGTTGAATAAAGGGTTAAATGATAATACACATAAACTTGAGATCATGTTCTTGACGAAGTTAATTTGCATATCTCGTATCCCATTTCAGCTCTAAATAGTGGCATAAACTTCTGCCATTCCAAATACTCCTTCCAATCAGCTTTATTCTTTTGCATTATTAGTTCCATATATTTACATACAAATATTCAATAGTCAAAGAATAAAGGGTTAAATGATAATACACATAAACTTGAGATCATGTTCTTGACGAAGTTAATTTGCATATCTCGTATCCCATTTCAGCTCTAAATAGTGGCATAAACTTCTGCCATTCCAAATACTCCTTCCAATCAGCTTTATTCTTTTGCATTATTAGTTCCATATATTTACATACAAATATTCAATAGTCAAAATTGTTGATCTATATTGGTATGCCCCTGGCCATATGTATCAGTCATTTACTCATATCAAATTGGAAAGCTTGACCAGCATCATTTCAAAAATGTTTAATTTACACAATTATTTGAAGAAAAGTATGAGTCTTAAAATTAACTCAGTAGTCTACACAATTACTTACAATGGCTTCGGTGATATTCATATGCATTCTGTTTGGTAAGGAGTCGTAAAATCTCCATCTACACTCCTTTATTGCCCCAACTAGTAATGTCCAATGCTGATTATTTATTATTGGCAGTAAAAGTAACTCAGTATTAGCAGCAGTTGCGGTTGTAATGTGCTCCACAAATCTTTTAGCATTTCCAACTTTATATAGTTACATAAAAGGAGAGACATATCACGTAAGAATAAGGTTGGGGTGTTAGATGTATTAAGGTACGTTACAGGAGAAAGGAATTAGAAAATTTACCCAGTGGCATGGAGAGACATATAAGTAAGATTTATATAAATATGGTGCTTGAGAACTTTTAGCTTCCATCAACATTGCAAAACAATCTACCTGTTCGATTTCTAACCAACACTCTTTGAGGAGTTCATCTAGATAAAGTCGTGTTAACGACACATGTCCTATATTAATAACTAAATCACATCTGCATTTCAAACATATGAATGTTAAGTCAAATTTATATGAAAGTAGAACATCTAAAGAAATTTAAAAACATAGCACATTGACAAGTTGGTGAATTTTCTACAGCAAAGGTCGATTGCTTCCAGCATATAATCCGGAATTTGTTCTCTAACAGGAAAATCAACAGCAAAAGTCGATTGCTTCTCGACGGCTATCAACCTCTTAAAGGCTAGTTGTATCTTAACCAAATTCTACTTTACATTAACTCGCCACCTCAACATTTTTGGTCTAATCTCAGGCACTGCTGAAAGGACTAAAGAGGTATGCTCATAAAACCAGAGCTGCATGAAACATAATACAATAATTTACTGTAATGCTTAAAATTATGAATATTAATTTTCATGACTTATATGAATAATACAAACTGCTAGAAGGAATAAAAAACTAGTAATGTATCCCAACGACTGATCTTTCTTTATTTTCATGGCACAGATATTGAGTTGTTCGGTCAGAAAATTACATACAGTTGTTGGCCAGTTATAAGCTGTAAATGACTCAACATCCTCACAAATACATGACAACTCTTTTAATATTCTGAAGTTACTTGAAGGAAAAAACAAATTTGACATTAAAAACTTTATTCATAATTGTAAAAAGGTATTCGAGTACTCCCCTGGTGAATAGTTTAGTAGTGCGGTCTTTAATTGTCACGCATCCAT